ATATATATTTGTAGGTCACAGCAGGATGGTGGACCACCTCTGGGGTGCTCCAGCATTTATGGGATGAAACAATGCACAATTCCACCACCTGCAGGTCAGAAGATCTGAATGCAGAGTCTTGGGGGCATCCAATGCTACGTTGCATGGGCAAGGTATGACAGCAGAGATTTCCACCACTGCCATGCCTTCTGCCCCACATTTTATCTAGATGCTTGTTTTCTGTCATCTCTATTTAGATGGGAAGGGAGCAGGTGGGAAGGAGGCTGTTGTGCTTGTTGAAATTGCCACAACTCCACCAACCTCCTGGCATGCCTCATTTCTCCACACTACTTGCTACTGGGAGTAATTCAGCCAGCATGGTCCTTTCCAGGTCAGCCATGGGGGAGTAGAACAGATTGTCCTTTGTTGTCTGAGCAGCAAGGTCAAGAGACTGTGCTCAGACTGAAAAAATCTTGTGGTCTCCCAGATGATGCCAAGAAACCATAAGTTTGCACACTTAGCCTTCTTTTCTCCAGCCCCCAAATATTTCTCTGCCAATAACAGGCTCCACAAGTCATATCTCACATGTTCTGGAAAGTTCAGGCAGACCATTGCATGCACCATGTTCTACATTCTTCCAAAGCAATTCTTCATCAGTTTAACTTTGAATCAGTTAAGTATTGTGTATGTGTGTGTGTATGTGTGTTTGTGCACGTGCTTCTTAGTTCCTCCTTCCTAAATACTTTTCATCTTTATGGATAGGTACTACCCATTTCTGTCTGTAGTGACTCCTGCCAACCAGGTTATCAGAAAAGAAATAAGGAAGGGGATAAATTTTGCTGCTATTATTGTGATTCATGTCCAGAAGGGAAGATTTCAAACCAAACAGGTAGGTGGTGTGATGCACCCAATGTTCTAACATATAAGATTAATACTAGACCATAATACCATTTTGGATAGGATACCTCCTACACTTTCTAAATGATGCCCGGAGCCTAGTATCAAAAAGCAAACACTGACCTGTATCATCCAAACAGTCTGGGAGAGTTCCAGACCAGCTGATTATTTCTATCTTTTTTCAGTAATTATTTAGTCGGTGTGACCAGGTGGGACATTTGGGCAAAGCATAATTTCAGACACCATAATTTTGAATGAGGTCAATTCAAACATTTATCTACAACATTCTAAAATGTGTGTGGGTTTTCTTTTTGATATATTACAGTTTTGTTTTAGGAGCATTTATTTGTAAAACGCAATGTGGATTTCCTTCTATTCCACTTTTGATCATTGCTACACATTGATTCAATTTCCTGTAAAAAGGAAAAAAAGAATAACACAAGGTTCTTCACTGGATTCCTTGACTTATCATAAGGTTGTGAGTCAATAGATATGAACTACTTGGGAGTTAAATCATCTGCCCTTGAGATAGACCTTTCTTGAGCTAATGATTTTCCAAAATACAAATGAAGATACTACTGCTAAAAGTAGAATATATCTAGTTCCAACTATGAAGGGGATTAAACATGAGTGTTACCTGCCCCCGCCCCTTTTTCTGCTTTTCATTAATGAGCTTTTCATTAATGATCTGTCTGGGGAACCAGAAACCTGTCCATTGGAAGGTCTGTATCATTTTGTAAGCAGATAATATGTTCTCATTGTCCTTCATCGGAGGTTGACTTAAGAAGCATACATATCAGTTCTTTTGGTTATCTCCCCCACCTCCAAATGAAAAGCTCAGTATTATCTTTTGTAAAACAAATTGAGAGTCAATATAGTGCAGCAGTCAAGAGCATGGGGCTGGGACTCAGACATTTTGGGTTCTAGTCCCTGCTGAGCCATGGAGCCAGATGGGTGACTTTGGATCAGTCACAGGCTCTCAGCCCAATCTACTTCAAGGGGTTGTTGCTTGGAGAATAGGATTGAAAACAGGAGGAGGAGGACAATGATATAAGCTGCTTTGAGCTCTTTGTAAGAAAAAAGTGGGAGATAAATCTAATAAATATGAATGAATGAATGAATGAATTGGAGTGTATTTGGGAAGTGATCCTATATATTTGATTTTTCAGTTAATTATAGCCCTACTCAAATTTTGAATCTTTTTGTTCCACTATTTTTGTTCCAGCTTTCTTCTATTTTACCTTTGATGTGCTCTTTGTTGACACAGTTATGTCATCATCCTCAGCTCTTTGTAATTTCCCAAGAACTGACAGATTTGTAGGGTTGCTTTGAAGAGGTTTTTGAGCAATCACTTTGATAGCTCAGGCCCTCCCTAACTCTAAGGCTTTGGCAACATCATATTTTGGGGCTAGATATTACCTCAGTCAGGCCCAGGGTTGACATGGTAGGCATGAAATCTGGAGCCCTTCCTGCCAAACTAGTCTTGACAGCATTATACAAGTATCTGAAACCCAGACCACAAGGCAGAAGCAGGAACACCAGTGGTTTGGTTAATCATGAATACTGGCTCTTTTTTCAGACACAGATGACTGCTTCAAATGCCCAGACAATCGGTATCCAAGCAAAGATCAGGATCAATGCATCCCTAAAGTTATCAGCTTCCTGTCATATGAAGAACCATTAGGAAAAAGTGTAGTGTCAGTTTCTGTTTGCTTTTCCCTGATCATAGCCTTGGTTTTGCAAACTTTTATTAAACACAGAGATACTCCTATTGTCAAAGCCAACAATCGGGCCCTCACCTACACTCTCCTCCTCTCCCTCCTGCTTTGCTTCCTCTCTTCTTTGCTTTTTCTTGGACAACCTAGGAAGATGACTTGCCTTCGCCAACAGCCATTGTTTGGTTTTAATTTTTCAGTTGCAATTTCTTGTGTGCTGGCCAAAACCACCACTGCAATTGTAGCTTTCACAGCCATCAAACCTGCGCCCAACATGCGAAAATGGGTGGGGAAAAGACTGGCAATTTCCATTGTATTTTCTTGCTCCATTATGCAAGCTGGCATTTGTGCCATCTGGCTGACAACTTCTTCCCCATTTGTTGACCTGGACATGAAATTGCTGTCTGAAGAAATCATTATGGAATGTCGTGTGGGATCCATCATCATGTTTTACCTTGTCCTCGGCTACATGGGACTTCTGGCCATCATCAGTTTTTCTGTAGCTTTCTTTGCCAGAAAATTACCAGACACTTTTAATGAAGCCAAGTTCATCACCTTCAGTATGTTGGTGTTTTGCAGTGTTTGGTTGTCATTTGTTCCAACCTACCTGAGCACAAAAGGGAAATACATGGTAGTTGTGGAGATCTTCTCCATCTTCGCCTCCAGTGCTGGCTTACTGGGCTGTATCTTTTTTCCCAAGTGCTACATCATCATTGTAAGACCTGACCTGAATATGAGGGGTCGGTTAATTAAGAGAATCAGTTAAAGCAAGGATTGGATAGACATGGCCCATGGGCTGGATTTAGTTGCCCCCCCCCCAAAACACACACAGCATCCAGAATTGTTTTGTGCTGTACTTTCTAGTTGGCAATGGCAATAGTGATATTAAAACCTCATTTTCCCATTATAATGAGG